AACAATGTCAATATCACGTCAGAACAAGTAACTGTCAATATAAATTTTCTAACAGGCTTATTTACCAATACAATGTCGTTTTTCTTCAGACTCAGGAAACAAATTCGACAACAACTGTTACCGAAGAAATATCCAGTGCGTCTGTTATTTCGGACCTGGTAAGCTAATAAATACGATCAGTTTGATACGCATGTAAAATTCTATTTTTTAAAGCCATCCGAAACTCTCATTCAACATTTGAACAATAATTTGATAAAAGAAGAAGCAACAGAATTGAAAATGAATTACGGAGAAACTGAAGTGTCACACAATACTACGCAGGTACGAACTAACTGGCTTTCTGTTTCAGGCGTAAATTTTCGCTTTCTATGCTCTTTTTTAGCACGGGAAGATCCATACTAGACAATGAAGAGAAAACACCTCAAAAAATAAAAGACGGCGGCGGCGGCGGCGGCGGTATTGAAAATTCAATGATTCTTCACAACGGCAAGGAACAATATTATCAGAGCCGAAAAGATGTGGCCAGACGAATAGCTCTTCGAGCGAAATATTTAGAAGACAATACAGGGTATGGTGATGAAGAGGAGGACATCTATTCCAGCAGCCATTCAACAGCAGAAAATACTGTTCTTATTGCTGAGATGCCGCATGTTACAAAACAGCCATCGTTTCAAGTTCCAACTACGTCGAACGCGTCGAAGATTATTCTCATCAGAAATGTAAACAATCGAACTGTCCCTATTTTATTGGGTAAATATAGAGTTATGTTAGATTATAAACTTTTCACATCAAATCTGTGCTTATGCCAATATAAGTTGCCAAAGGCATGAGACCGAGTAAGTGGTATACGAGCGTTACCTCGTAGATGCGTGCCAAACAAACCTGGTTACTCGACCGGCTCAAAATTGCCATTATCGCCTGTTTGAGAGCACCACAGTCACTATAGTTGTCGAAGAAACAATGCAGCTAAAGCACTTTTCTCTGTCGATTTATTTCTGCTAGAGACAGCTTGAGTAGCCGCAGTATGTCTCAGTGTCTGACTAGGGTCTCGCAGCATTTTCAATGCTTAAAATATGACTATGTGATTTATCCATGGCTGATGGGTGATTAAGGAGGTTGACTGTAGCTAGCGCATTGTGCGTTTTTGATATATTAGTGATGTCTATCAAATGCACCTAAGCTATTTATTTCGAAAAACACCACGACTTAGAGGGGTCTTTTCGAAGACATTAAGGTGACTCACAGTAAAAAGAGGAGAAAATGCACCTAACGTGCCTTCAAAACGCACTGTGGAAGCATTTTTAAGCCAGTCGAATGGTTTACCAAGACACTTTTTTTTGACAGTGAAAACTCCAAGGAAAATTGCCAGAGAGGGAGTAACTTTTTCCAGATTTTAACTAATACAGAGAATTGTACGGGATCCTTTTCCATCAACTCGATCCACATTTCTTGAGCAACATCAATGATCATTTTCTCTTGTTTTTCAAATTCTTGCAGCTTCCTGCCTACGAATTTATCATATTCATTACGTTTTTCAGCAAAAAGTTCCGTGGGAAACGGCTCTTCTCGATATAGGGCATAACTTAATGCAATTTTCTTCATAGTTCGCCAGAGCTCTCGCTCTATCTTACCTGTAATTGTCTTAAAAAAATATTGATTCAGTTCAAACGCATGTCTCATGCAGATAGCAGCAACTGATGAAATCATAAGACCAAACAAATTAAAATTACTTATTCTTGGAAGTGAGATATATACAAAAACAAAAATGTAGATATCTGGAATAGATTTGAGCAAAATTTCCCACATGAATTGAGAAGAAAGAACAAAACATCTGACACGCAAATCTCTATATATGGAAATATTAAAGCGCATGGAAGATGGGGGGGTAAATCCAAAAATGAGAGTAAGGTCTCCAAAAGCCCCTGACTCTCCGACCTCATGGTGAAGTATAAATAATTGATGAGCATTACTCGTTTTCCCAAAAAATATGTCTTCCTACCTGCATGCCTTCTAACTCGTTCTATCGCCTTTAACTAAATTCTAAATTTCGATTCAGAGTTGCTGATTGAATAAGCTGTTTAAGGTGCCAATAATGCAAAAGTACAGGAGAAAGTGGTAATTAATCTTTCAAAAAATTGTTTTGAGGATGAAAAATTGAAAAAACTCGAAAGATCTACAGTTTCGGAAAACCCTTCTAGTTTCACAAAACACACATTTTTTTCTTTTCCGTGCTTCCAACTTTTTCAAAGCATCTTTCTCAGATTCAGCATTAAAAACTGAGTATGAGAATGATGCTTGATTGAGGTCGAAGTCAAAGACCTATCCAGTATGGACGTCTTGGGCTTCCCTCCCATGAAAAGTTCATAAACAGATTTTCAAACCTATCTAGTTTTTCGTGTGGAGAGATGAAGCCGATTTTTCTACTTCATTAGAACCGCCATTAAACGAGCTTTAAAAATATGAATCGCTTTTTTTTTCATTTTGCTTTGTCATTGAGAAAATTCATGTTTTCCAACACAGGAGCGCAAAAATCGGACTTCTGTATGTAATTCTCAATTTTCTTCATTAGAACTCAAGTTTTATGCAATAAAAATAGTACCCTCCCATACTTTTAAAAAAAAGTATGAACGATTTACTCCCAAATTTGAGAAAAGATAGGAACGATTTACTCCGAATTTCGGAGAAACCTGAGGGATGATTTACTCCGATTTTGGTTTTTTCGAATACTAAAGTGCTGCTTTCTCCGAAAACTGATATTAAATGTGCTCTTTGA